ATTTTTCCAACTTCCGCCTATTGTTGAGACGGTCCATCTGAGCGCGAAATTGTTCAAATGTATGAAGCACAACAAATCGCTCAATATCAGGAAGGAGGGGAATGGATAGACGGTTCAGATACAGAAGAAGAGGTTGTATATGTAGAAGAAAATAACGATTCTGACAGCGAGTAATTGTGTTGTTGTAATTTCAATTTTTTTGACTTCGAATATTTGTGCTCTTTTCTTCATCATTATTATTTGTGAAATAAAAATTACTCCATATTAATTCAACAACAACAAGTTTTTTATATCCATATTATAAATTCGAAATATACTTTTAATAATTCGAAAATTACTCCATACTTTTAATAATTCAAAAATTAATTTTAATAATTCTAAATATACAAAATTATCAAAATTCAAAAATTCAAAAAAATAATAATTTACTTTTAATAATCTGAATATTATAATAAATTCAGATATTAATAAACAACCAACACAAATTTATTTATCAAATTTAAAAGATAAGTACGAAACACACAATTTATTTATCACAATAACCTAACTAACATTATTTTATTCATCATAAGCAAACAAACAAATACAGAATTATTCTTCAATGTCAAAACTTTCAAGAGGCCTAGCCCACAAGTCGTTAATTTTTCTTCGAGCTTCTTCGTTGATCGGGTCCATATACTCCGAACATTCTTCTGCCCGAGGAGCTGCCAGGCCGAACCAAAAAACAGTAGTCACGGTCAAATCCGTGACTACGGCCGTGACTAATTCAAAATTTTGAATTAGTCACGGCCGTAGTCACGGATTTGACCGTGACTACGCCGGTCAATGACGGCGCTGACACTTCGTCTTCCGCGTGTCTGACTACGTTAACTACGACAGTGTAGTCACGGATATATCCGTGACTAAATCCGTGACTACGCCCTTATATATAAGTCACAATTAGCGAATTTTTCATTCCGCACTCTCCAAAACCCTAAAACTCTCTCTCTCTCCCTTTACTTCTTCTCTCTGTCCGCCAACCCCTTCGACCTCCACCGTCCGTCGCCACCGTCCGCCGCCGCTCTCCGGTACCTACCTCCATCGATCTTCGCCGTCCCTCTTACCTTTTTCATCAAGGTTATGTGTTCTAAATTTTAATTATTTCATTCTTATTTTTAGTATTTGATTTTATTCCATGAATGCATGTTATTATAAGTATGTTCGCATTATTTTTGTTGAAATACACTCAAATGCATGATTATATACATGATTTTTAGTTTTATATAATTTCCGAAATAATCAATTTGTTCTATGCATGATTCTTATATACTCAATTACATATTTTAATTACATGCTTTAATTTTTAATATGCATGTTCTTTTTGTATAGGTATACATGTTCTTGACAAAAAAAATACCAAAATACTTGTTTTTTTATTCGAATTTGAATATCTATTTATGTTATAATTTTTTCAAAATGTTAAGATGCATGTTCAATACATGATTCGAATTTGAATATCTATTTCGTTTTTTTGTGTATTAATACATGATTTGAATATTTGGTTTGCCTAATGCATGTAATTAGTCTTAAATCCACAATGATTATTAATATACTTGGTTATATATTGTTTTTGGTCAAGCATGATCTATTATTTACACAATACATGTCTAAATATGAATTAGTGTATATGTTTAATATCAATGCCTAAATTTTTCGTGTATATGTTTAGTATGCATGCCTAAATATTTGAATTATATATCTAAATTAGGATTATTATTTAGTTACATTTTCGAAAATTAATTTAAAAAACTACTCCCTCATATTAAACTAATAAACAATTTAAAACATATTTTTTAATTTCTTTTAAAACAATTTTTTTTTTTAAAATAAAAAAATTTAGTCACGGATTTGAGCCGTGACTAAATTGTAGACCGGATTTTTTTAAATTATTTTAAAAATTTAAAAATGTTTTTTTTTAAATAAAAAATATAGTCACGGATAGTGTCCGTGATTAAATTTAAAATTTTGAAAATCTAAACCCTAATATTTGGCGGTTTATTCGAAATTTGAAAACTTAGTCACGGAATAGGTCCGTGACTAATATGTTCGAATTTAAAAAAAAAACATTATTAGTCACGGATAGAGGCCGTGACTAAGTCGTCGGTGTGGTTATTCCGGTCACAAATTAGTAATGGATCGGATCCGTGACTAATCCGTGACTACGCTTAGTCATGGAAAAACGACTGTGACTAGAATTAGTGATGCCCGAATAGTCACGGATTTAGTCACAGATTTTTTTCGTGACTAGCAGAGTTAGTCACGGATTTTTTATATTACGGTCCGTGACTAAACCCGTGACTAAGTCCGTGTTTTTTTGTAGTGAAGTTGGAAATGTACTCCATTACTGGATTTTGATATTAGAATGTAAAGGCTAGATTTTTACTTTAAAGTTGTTATCAATTTCTAATATTATCTTTGTTTTTCAATTCTAAAGAGTGGCTTTGAAGTCAAGCTTGTGAGCTTGTCAACATTGAGTAGTGTGTAGATTAGGTATGAGTTTTGATTTTGTATTTAGGAAGACAAAGAAAGAGGGATGAAGGAGAAAAAAACTATTATAGAGTACAAACTCAAATAAGATACTTAAGGTGTGTGATATTTTATTAGATGTTGTGGTTACAAAATAATGGTAACTCATGCCAGTGCTTAGTTCAGCAAAGTCATAGCCAATTAAGCTTAATTGATAATGACTTTGCTAAACTAAACCTCAATTATATAAGAAACTAGGGATGTTTTTACAGGATTGAAACTTTCTAGTCTGATCTGTTTTGTTTAAGTCTTGTATGATCTGGTCTGAGGTCTGAACTGGTCTGATAGATGTCTGGTGTATGCATATTTTATAATTGTTGAATTTTGCTATGATCTTTTTAAATCTAGTGTGGTATGAACAGGTCTGGGACTGAAATCAGCCCAAGTAAAAAGATCGCATGTACACTTTACTAGCATGAAAATGCTTCTTATGATATAGAATTCCGTAAAATCAAGTAAAAAGTACTTGCCAGTGTCTTTCAGTGTACTTTTTACAAAAAGTCAATGTCTGTGGAAACAGACAAAATTTGTCTGTGTACACAGACAACTCTTGTCTGTGGTCAGAGGCAACTCCGTACCAATTGTCTGTGACCGACATTGTGTGTACAAGTTGTGTAGAACTTGTGTACCCCTAACATTTTCCTAATTGGGGAGGTGTGTGAAGCAATGCCCGAAGTTTCTTTGTCCTTCCACGTTTAGTCAGCAATTCTCCAATCCTGAAATTAAAACAATCCATCACAATGTTTTGTTAAATGGTACTCGTACTTTAATTTCAATTTGCTGTTTCGCGGGTTGTCGAAAGTTCGAACCCCAGAAAGGGTAAGTGAAAAAATTGCTTCTTTTTCGCTTACAATTTTTTTCTTCAAATGCCGTTTGGCTGCTTTGCCTCAGACGAGACACCCTCTTTTGACGATGGGTGTAATTTGAGTTTAAGGTTGAAGCTTAAAAGGTATAGACACTACCTTACATTACATTTCTTGGAGTATCCGGTGTATAAAATCTGCTTTGGTTGTAAGGTCATATATAAAGGTAAGTTTCTCTTCTTTTTCCATGATTTATCCTTTCTCGATCTCTTGTATTTTTGAAGACATTTTACTCATTAGTACGATGGCAATTAAGTCCATTTTTGGGTCTAGATTTTTCTTCTTTCTTTCATTTTCAGTTTCTTTCCATTTTGGGATCTTGATTTATCTTCTTTAACCATGGACTCTCAAACCATGAAACCTAAAAAAAAAATAAGCAGTTCCTCCCTCCCGTAGAACTGAATTGATTAGTAATTTCTGTCAATAAAATTAATTGATTCCTGTCTGTAATTAGATATTTTAGTAAATAAAATTTACATATTCAGAAACTAAGTTAAAGATTTTATAAAGTAGCAAAAATAATCCAAATTTGATAAATGTTAGATATATAAAATAAAAGATTAAGAAGACTTTGCGTTAACCACAGAACGGTGGACAAGAACCTTTGTATGGGACTGATGTAGTATACGGAGTATTTTATAAGCTTTTGCAGCAAGTTTTATTTTGATAACTTATTCTGTTATATTTAAGTATTTTTCTTTCAAATATCAATACATATTCATTTTTGGACTGTTTGTTTAGTGTATATATATCAATTAGCCATGCATAAAATTAAAACCCAAATACTCACAATGTGTGTGTCTTTATCTGCTAAATTGCTCCGCATGAGTTAGGATGAATGACACTCTTTTGTCTGTCAATTATTGTTGTGATTATTGTTGTGAATGGAGTATTTCTATCTATAACTTTTAAAATCTAAAAATGAACTATGCTTTAACTTGCATGCCTTATGTATTGATATGCTTTCACTTGATCTTACGGAATTTTATATCATAAGAAGCATTTTCATGTTAGTAAAGTGTACATGCGATCTTTTTACTTGGGCTGATTTTAGTCCCAGACCTGTTCATACCACACTAGATTTAAAAAGATCATAGCAAAATTCAACAATTATAAAATATGCATACACCAGACATCTATCAGACCAGTTCAGACCTTAGACTAGATCATACAAGACTTAAAACAAAGCAGATCAGACTAGAAAGTTTCAATCCTGTAAAAACATCCTTAGTTTCTTATATAATTGAGGTTTAGTTTAGCAAAGTCATTATCAATTAAGCTTAATCGGCTATGACTTTGCTGAACTAAGCACTGACATGAGTTACCATTATTTTGTAACTACAAGTCTACAACATCTAATAAAATATCACACACCACTACAACAAAATAGACCTTTTGCAACAGTTTTCTTGTAACATTTATTTTTTGGTTGCATATGGTATTTTTAGTTTGTATTTTGCAACACTTTTAAATAAATATTGCATAAGCCTAAAAATCATTAAAATATGTAACATGTTATAAAAACCGTTGCATATAACTAAGTATATGCAACGTTTCTTGTAAAACGAGTGTTATGAATACGAGATAGTTATATCTTTATTTCAGATCTGATCCATGTAACAGTGTAACTCCGACTCCTTTTTTTACAACCCAAACCCTTTCTCCTCTCTCTTAATCCTCTGGCGGTCAGGCCATTTGTCGATATCCTCCTATACGACACTTTCCCCTTTCTCCATTTTCTTTATCAGTAAATCAATTCACCATGAAGGTAGGAGGAAGACGGTGACAAATCTGTTGGAGCGCAGATGAAGTGCCGGCGAAGTCACGACCATCACTAATCGTCGCCACAATCGCTGCTAATTTGCGCCGACGAAGCCACCGCCAGCGTTCACCCTCACTCTTTCGTTCAAATATCATCATCTAAGGGCTAAGGTCATAATTCCTCTCTATTTCTGTTATTCTTTTTTAGTTTTTTCTCCTGATATTGTGTAAAATTTATGTTATATAGTTGTTTGTTTGAGTAATATGTTTCACTGTTCTGAATTTGTGACGGTCATGTTTGATGTTAATCTCCAAGTATTTTATTTCAGTTTCATACCCACAAGGTGTTTGTTAAAATGCTACAATGACATATAATACTGAATTTTTCAAAAATGGATAAACTTTTTGCCATAACATGGGTACACACTCGGTTTTTTCTACTTTAGTAATGTACAATTTCATATTTTGAAGGTCTTGTTTGATGTTTGTAAGAAAAGTGTCAAATTATATCCCAAGTATATCATGTTCCACTCCAAACAAAATTTTGAAATAATTGATGCCCATTGAAATATTACCGGTGGTATAGATCAGAACTATGGTATTGATAACCTGTGTGGTTCTATTCTGTAAAAAATTGATAAAAAACTGAACTTTTGATTCTGGTTTAAAAATCTGAAAATTTTTACTTGCTCTGTTAATCCGTTTTATAAAAATGAGTGAAAATGAATCTTTAACGTGTTTCTTAACTTTTTAGAGTTGTTTTGCTTTCAGTTTAGAAAAATATTAGGAGTTGGTGAATTAAAATGAGCTGCTCACATTTGTTTTAAATCCCAGTGACTTCTACGTTAGGGTGGGGTAAGGGCCGGTGGACTTCTATTGGAGATTTGGAGCCTGAATAGTTTAGAAGAATAACATTTTTTATGCTATCTCCAACATTGAACAAAACTGCATATCGATTTAGAAGAATTAAGAAGTTTTTAGTATTGACCTTAATCTATACTAAAAACATCATATCCAAAGAAGTGTGGGGATGAAGACTGAGACAAAAAACTAAGAAATCTGCCGCTTCTCCGCTGTTGATTTGATCGCCACTTTCCACTTCCTTGTTTAGGTAAATATGTGCCGTTTTGCTATATACATTTGTTTTTGCTATATATATATATTATACACACATACATTTTCAACCAAGCAACAAGTTTTACTTATTCATTTTGCATTCCACTTAAGTAGGATTCTCAATAATACAAAGCACACTTTCTTAATATATGTTTGCTTTTCTATATACGTAATTCGTTCACACTTAGATGAACTAAGAGAGTTCTTTATTTCCCATCATGGTGATTTTTGATACTTCTGATAATACTGATGGCACTTTTAAGAGAGGTAGCCAATCAGAATAATTTGAAAATTATAAAAGTAAAGACTTCAAGTTTTGAGTTCTTTTGGTCTTTCAGTTCTTGGTAAGTAATACTCCATAGAACTTTTTATTATGCATGTTTGATCTACTATTCAATTATTTCTAGCTGTTATTAGTGTATATTAACATTTCTTTGAAGTCTTCACATGCATTTCATTGCATTGAGTTACATAGTATATTAGTATGAACAAATTAATGATCTTTATTTCATAAATTAAATGATTATAAGTTTGTTATGTGTTCAAATAACGTGTTCACATTCTCTAGTTGACTGATGACCTCAAAAGTTTCGGGTATTCAAGGGAACATAAATATGGTCATTTAAGTGATGAGACTATGAGAGTTGGGTACTTGGAGAGGGGTTCTCACAATGATATATGCCATTTGAGATATGTAAGTTTGATTACTTGACTGGCAGATTCTTTGGAAAGCTGTTAGAATACACAGCTATTAATATACATGAGTGGAGGCGTGGAGCATATTTTGCATACAGTCTTGACTTTTGAAAAATCACTTTATATCTCAACTAGTTTAAATATGACTTCCAGGCTCTCCTGGAACAGGTTGTGCTTTTTCTAATGTTGTCTCAATTAATGTATCCATGTCGCAGCATTCTGAGCTTAACAAGCACACTTTATAACATTGAATGTCGAAGTAATCTAGGGATTTACACTGTATTTATGATATACATGTATGTTCTTTTTGGTTAAAATTATAAATATCTTCTTATTCTTTTGGTTCTATTTCCATGAAATTTGAAACGTCAAAGTTTTTATGATAGGAACTCTTGGAGGCCGGTCATGTGTACGTCTTACTCTTTGAAATGAGAACTGCCTCTATGAGGTATTTTCCATTACTCTCTCCACTTCAATCTATTATACGATTTCGCATGTACACTTTACTAGCATGAAAATGCTTCTTATGATATAGAATTCCGTAAAATCAAGTGAAAGCATATCAATACATAAGGCATGCAAGTTAAAGCATAGTTCATTTTCAGATTTTAAAAGTTGTAGATAGAAATACTCCATTCACAACAATAATCACAACATTAATTGACAGACAAAAGATTGTCATTCATCCTAACTCATGCGGAGCAATTTAGCAGATAAAGACACACACATTGTGAGTATTTGGGTTTTAGAGTCCATGGTTAAAGAAGATAAATCAAGATCCCAAAATGGAAAGAAACTGAAAATGAAAGAAAGAAGAAAAATCTAGACCCAAAAATGGACTTAATTGCCATCGCACTAATGAGTAAAATGTCTTCAAAAATACAAGAGATCGAGAAAGGATAAATCATGGAAAAAGAAGAGAAACTTACCTTTATATATGACCTTACAACCAAAGCAGATTTTATACACCGGATACTCCAAGAAATGTAATGTAAGGTAGTGTCTATGCCTTTTAAGCTTCAACCTTAAACTCAAATTACACCCATCGTCAAAAGAGGGTGTCTCGTCTGAGGCAAAGCAGCCAAACGGCATTTGAAGAAAAAAATTGTAAGCGAAAAAGAAGCAATTTTTTCACTTACCCTTTCTGGGGTTCGAACTTTCGACAACCCGCGAAACAGCAAATTGAAATTAAAGTACGAGTACCATTTAACAAAACATTGTGATGGATTGTTTTAATTTCAGGATTGGAGAATTGCTGACTAAACATGGAAGGACAAAGAAACTTTGGGCATTGCTTCACACACCTCCCCAATTATTACGCGCATCACCTTTCTGACATAAATGACCCTAGTATAGTTGCTTCACTCACCTCCCCAATTAGGAAAATGTTAGGGGTACACAAGTTCTACACAACTTGTACACACAATGTCGGTCACAGACAATTGGTACGGAGTTGCCTCTGACCACAGACAAGAGTTGTCTGTGTACACAGACAAATTTTGTCTGTTTCCACAGACATTTACTTTTTTGTAAAAAGTACTTTCATGCTAGTAAAGTGTACATGCGATCTTTTTACTTGGGCTGATTTCAGTCCCAGACTTGTTCATACCACACTAGATTTAAAAAGATCATACCAAAATTCAACAATTATAAAATATGCATACACCAGACATCTATCAGACCAGACTAAAACATATCAGACTAGAAAGCTTCAATCCTGTAAAAACATCCATAGTTTCTTATATAATTGAGGTTTAGTTTAGCAAAGTCATTATCAATTAAGCTTAATCGGCTATGACTTTGCTGAACTAAGCACTGACATGAGTTACCATTATTTTGTAGCTACAACATCTAATAAAATATCACACACCTTAAGTATCTCATTTGAGTTTGTACTCTATAATAGTTTTTTTCTCCTTCATCTCTCTTTCTTTGTCTTCCTAAATACAAAATCAAAACCCATACCTAATCTACACACTACTCAATGAGTCAATGTTGACAAACTCACAAGCTTGACTTCAGAGCCACTCTTTAGAATTGAAAAACAAAGATAATATTAGAAATTGATAACAACTTTAAAGTAAAAATCTAGCCTTTACATTCTAATATCAAAATCCAGTAATGGAGTACATTTCCAACTTCCCTTTTTATTGGTTCCAATGTTTTGATTTAGATGTTTGTGGTTCTAAGACAATCGTCAAGAACCAATGGGAACTTTATACCATCTCATTTCAAATGCTCTTCTCTTGGAACTCTCTATAGTTCATAAGAATGAAAATATGAAAATTAATCATCTGAAATTTCATTTCTTTCTAGAGAACAAATTCGGACCTAAGATTGCAATTATTATTTTTCAATTGAAGATACATTGCATTGATATGTCTCAAATGGCAGAATGGAAGGGCTTGTGGTGGAAAGGCATGTTAAATACATCATATCAGTTGAAAAGGTCAGAATTATTTATATTTCTATTATTTACTTGTTGTTTTTATGAACCATATTAAAGAGAATGGGCTCTTAATCATGTAGTAATATGTCGTCTTTTCATTAATGAATTTACTGTGATTATCGGATTTATCACTTCACTTAATAACATAAACGGAATGATGTTTTTTTTATTATAAGCATCACCTTAATCCCAACCACGCTGGGTTGGTGCAATGAAATTTACAGAAAAATAATTATCTATATATTTAGTTACCACATTGGGTAGGTGGTCTGACATTCAAACTTGTTTTTTTATCGTGCTTTTTAAACTACTATAGTTTTCTAATATTTGAACTTGTTTATTACCTTGTTTAAGTATTTAACGTTTTAGTGTCGAATATTTAAATATGTATTTTCAACATGGTAATTTTTTATCTACTATACACTAGGTGGGTGTTTGGTTAAATCAATAATCTTTACGATGTTTATTTGTCATACTTTTAGAGGAAAGATGATTTCGAATCTGTGGTGATGGAGCATCTAAGATTAAATGGAGCTTACTGGGGATTGGCAACGCTTGATATCCTAGGAAAGATTGATGTAGTGGACCGAGATGAGGTTATTCCTTGGATCATGCAGTGCCAAGATGAATCTGGTTTGTCTTATCATACTAAGTTTTTCTTATTGGTTGATCTCTAAATTTTGGTCAGCTTGTGCAATTTGCTAGTTCTCTTAAATTTGATTATTTTATTGAGATATTTTTATTTCATATGTCAATTCATATTACCCGACCCCAAATTTTTTGGGGACTAAGGCTTGGATGTTGTTGTCTTATACTTGTCATCATCATCATCACCCCAGTGCCGCAAAGGCTCCCACCTACGGTGGGGTAAAGGGGGGTCGGATGTATGCAGTCTTACCCCTGTACTAAAGCACAGAGAGAATGTTTCCGAATGACCCATAGTGAAAAACGCGTCGAAAATAGCGAAGACTGACTGTTACTTCATAAAGAAGCGTAGACGGTTTAGTGAGCCATTTTGCTTTATTCCATCATATTCCCAAGCCAAAAAATATTGAGTCTGGCTCCATTGAAAATGATGGAAAGATATTGTCATATACTTTTATTGAGGTATTTTCCCTTTTGGATAAGGTGTTACTTGGTGAGTTGATGCACACAGTTTGTGTATTTAGCCGGAGTCACAATGTAGATTTGCAAAAGGAACCACTAAATATGATTATAATGCCTGCCTGCCTGCCTGCCACCCCTTTTTATTGGTTTCACATCTGGGAGCCTGAATAATCGTTTTTTCATATTCCTTGGATATAACAGAAAGATTAGCTTATTTAAAACTAATTTGATATATGAGATGATGAACTAGCCATAGTGACTGCAATCTGGCTACATTACTGCTGAATTTACAATTTAGAGTACCAGTTGTTTATCTGTGCAGGTGGATTTGGTGGTAACATTGGACACGACCCACATATCTTGTATACCCTTAGTGCCATCCAAGTTTTAGCGCTATTTGATAAGCTTGATGTTCTTGACACTGGCAAGGTTTCAAAATGTATCCTTCAAAGGGAATCTTGAATCTTGACATGAGTTGTATTTTACTCTCATTCAACACATAACTTCTCCACTTTATCCATAGGGATATACATTCTATATTTCTAGTGTATTGTCTTTTGTGTTTTTTTAAAACGTTTTAGCCCGAATTCAACTTTATTTATCAATAAAAACTTTATATGTGTAGCAACTCTGATATTGAATTTTGGTGTTGAACTTGACAATTTAGCCAGATATTGCCAACCTGCAAAATGAAGATGGTTCCTTTTCTGGTGACATGTGGGGTGAAGTTGATACAAGGTAACCAACTGCACTTTCAAACCTTCCTTATAACTTTTTATTCTCTCATGATCTCATCTGAGTTTCTTCATTCACTTATAACACATGAAACACATTTTGCATGTTATCCAGTGTTTAATTTAACATAGTATTATCAATTTATCATTAAAGAAAAGAATTACCAATGTAACTCTTTTTTTAGGTTCTCTTACATAGCAATAAGTTCTCTGGCACTGTTGCAACATTTGGATGCAATTGATGTGGAAAAGGCAGTTCAGTACATTCTAAGTTGCATGAATATGGATGGTGGATTTGGTTGCACACCTGGGGCAGAGTCGCATGCCGGACAAAGTATGTTTCACAATATAGTTCTAAATTTATTTGAAATTTCTTACGTGTTTCTTGACTAAGAAGAGATATCTTTACTAGAATCATTATTCAAGCATTTTCCTGTGTGGTCTTGGATTGGCTACTTTCATGCAATTTTATTCAGCATATTAGGATATAGATATTCATGCAATTCTAGAAGAAGTCATGTGAACTATTCATTTAGATACATCTTATACCCAAAATAATGATTTGGAAGTCTTGTTAATGCTAGAACCTATATTGTTTTGATCTTCTTTCTAAAATTTGATATGTAAATGAAGATTGCATAAAGAAGTCTCTAATATAGAAATCCTCTGTCCAATGTTGGGATATGATGTGTTCGAGCCAAACCAAAACTATAAAGTTGAGCCAATTAGCTACTTGAACCTTAGCATATAAACCCATCTTTATTTTACTACTTTTTTAATATGGTACTTGCTTGAACAAATCTTAATGTCCAACAGTCCAAGCATAGTATTGTTGGATCTATTCTGTGATACCTTCAGCCATATGCTGTGATATGAATGCACTAACTTTATTACTATTGCAGTTTTTTGTTGTGTAGGAGCTCTTGCAATAACGGGCTCTTTGCATCATGTTGACAAAGATCTCCTTGGTTGGTGGTTATGTGAAAGACAAGTTAAATCTGGAGGTCTTAATGGCCGCCCTGAGAAGCTTCCTGATGTGTGCGACTTGTCCTTGCTTGATAAATACATAAAGTCTGTTGATATGATTTTAAGACGCGGCTGATCTTACTTATTGTATTTTGTTTATTTAATTCTAGGTCTGCTACTCTTGGTGGGTTCTTTCCAGTTTAATTATGATAGACAAAGTTCACTGGATTGACAAGGAAAAGCTTGTAAAATTTATTTTGGACTGTCAAGTGAGTTTTGCCTCCTTATGCTGAGTTGAAATTTTCGTACAGAAGTCACAATTGATCATTTATCTTTCCTTAAGCAACTTCTTGTTGATCGTTGCGGTGTTAGTCGTGCCTTCGTGATTGTGTAGGATATAGAAAATGGTGGAATTTCAGATAGGCCAGATGATGCAGTTGATGTTTTCCATACCTATTTTGGGGTTGCAGGTAAGTGTAGGATCACAACTCATCCTGCCACTCCAAAATCGTAAAATTTCTATCAACCTCACTTAGTACATTTTGAACAGTTGTGCACTAAATTTAAAAAGGTATACTGATTTGATTGCTGGAAAACTGGCTGTTTTAACTTGACCGCTTGAGCACGTGATTAGCACCTATTACAAAATAAGTGGCTTATTTATCTTGCATCATTATTTGTCTGCCCTTCAGGACTTTCACTCTTGGAATACCCGGGACTCAAAGCTATAGATCCAGCATATGCTCTTCCTGTTGATGTTGTTAATAGAATCATCTATCACAAGTAATGGGTCGGTTTACCATCGTCTCATTCCTGCGATGCTGACTGTTAATGAATTTTCATTGACATCAACTTTAAGCGGATTTAATTAAGGGGTTAAAGGGATGTGCTCTGATAACCTCACAGAATTTATGTATTTATCAAGCAAGGACAAGTCGCACACATCAGGAAGCTTCTCAGGGCGGCCATTAAGACCTCCAGATTTAACTTGTCTTTCACATAACCTCACATCACTGCTTTAGTTCTGTGAGGTGTGGTGTATATTGTGTTGTCGCTTTAAAATTCCCAAATCCTAATATCCTATAAAATGGGGAGAGTCTAGTGTGGCTGTGAACATGGTATCCGTTCAACTTTGTTTTAAAAGGCCAATAAGTTTGTGTCCCTTCAGATAGATGCATTTGTCAGCGAGGTGCTTCGGCATGCACTGGTAACTGTCTTAAAGTTAGCAGGACAAGATTTTGTTTGTGTAAGTCAATGTTGTTCTCGGTGCCGCATCAATGACTAGTCCGTCTCAGACACTTAGTCATGTCTTCCTTCAAACTCCTAGGTTTAAGATAATTTTTGTAAATACATATTAACTGTGGAAAATTTTCGAGTATGGATTGAAAAAACTTATACATGAATCTGATGTTTAAATCTGTTGTCAAGACACAATTATTTTCATACACATTAACTGCAAATGAAATAGCTATAGCCAGTGGCGTGTTCAGAAAAATTCGTCAGCGAGGGCGAATTTACCTTAGATTTCTCACGAATGTCATGGAATAATCACAAAAAGAGAAATATTTTAAAAACAATTATAAATACTAGAAATATTCACTGGACAAAATCATTATGATATCATACTTAAAAAATCACAATAAATAAATTTTAATCACACGGTGTTTGTGATTTGTTTTTTTATCAAGTGTTTGTAATTTGTTAAAAATTACGTTAATAAATAAACGAATGAAATAAGGGAATTGAAGGATTAACTATGTACTTGAAATTAATTTAATTTTGAATTCACAAGTACGTTAAAAAAAAACTAGTTTATAATTTATATTGTGTACAAAAAAGTACTCCGTAATTGTTGAACTTGACGAATGAAAATATTTTTTAAAAGACAAAAACTAGATAAAATATGTAGAGTCACTCTAAAGAATTTAAGGCTTTAAAAGAGCAAAATAACCACAAAACTTAGAAAAACGCAAAATAACCACAAAACTTAGACAAACTTGAGGCCAGGTTCGAACTAGGGATGGCCCCGGGCCCGGTTTGGGCCTAGGCCCGGCCGGGCCTAGGCCCGGCCGGGCCTCGGGTCTGTTTTGTTGGGGCCGAGCCCGAACCGGTGGCCACCGGTTCCGGGTCCGGTTCCGGGCCGGACCGGGCCACCCGGTTATTTTATTTTTTTTTCTTTTCTCCCCCCCCCCCTCACCCCCCACCCCCACAAACCCCCCAAAGTCCCAAACCGGTCCTAAACATCAAGCCCAACTCAATAAAGCCCAAAAAAAATGAAAAAATAAAATAAAAAACAGTTTTTTGGCCCGGACCCGGGCCCGACCCGGCCGGTTCGCCAAATACAGGGCCCGAGCCCGGACCCGCCCCCCCACCGGGCCTAGGCCTGACCCGGACCCGAGAACCGGGCCGGTTCCGGGCCCGCACAGTGGCGGGCCGGGCCGGGCGGCCCGAACCGGGTCCAAGTCTACTCTAGTTCGAACCAATGACCTCTCCAAAGCTCACGTAAATACTAAATAGCCATACCTTCTTTGTCGCTAGGCTGTGAAGAACTTTCACTACTTTACTCATATTAACCATATAACTAATTCATATTTCACACACAAATATATATAAAATTATTTATTGAATATATATACATAGGGGTTGAATGGGGGCAGCTGCCCCCCTGCCCCCACCCTGGATACGCCACTGGAGCCTATAGCAGAAGAGAAAAAAGCTGGGGCAGATGGGAAACTTATAAATACTTATTTAATAAAAATAAAAAATTGTGACTTTGAATAGTAGATGTGCGGTTGCATTTAGAAACACCCCTAAAAGGCTAATATGTTAGGGGCGAGCAAATCAGTCACCACCATTCAAGCTAACAACTAGCTTACTTACAAAAAGATGCACCTCTGGCAGTAACTTCAGCAGCAAGAGACAGAAACAAAAAACAAAAAATCTCCATATCTGGAGGCAAGCTGTTAGAAATGCATCATTTTACGACATAATATTTACAAAATTTGGATACTGTTGTTGGCAGCAGCTGACAAAAAAGTGCTAAATACAGCAAGCATATACAGGAGGAGGTTGCAGTTGTAATCAGGATAACTTGAAAGGATCCCTGTGGGGCATCAGCTCCTCACCATCTGGCACCAAATCTAACATAACTTGCCAGTTAAATTGTGAAGTGTATATATTATCTGCTTATCATTACTGTCACCTTAACCCCACCCACATTAGTATCATATTTCCATTTTAATCTAACCCTGAAAGGATTTTATTTAGATGCATCTCCAAAGGCATCTTAGATTTCAATATCAAACTACCTTCCAATCTATGTAATCAAATCTGAATATTGAATTCTGGTACGGCTCATTGGTGGAAGAACCACACATGCTGCTGCATCCCTTGTAGCTGTAAACGTAAGGAAAAAACAAGTAAAGAGGATAAGATTGAACTAAATACTTGACATGTTGAATACAATGATATGAGATTATTTATCTTACAGACGATATAAGAGCCGTTCTCAGCCAATCTTATAGCAACCCGCCCGTCATTTACCAAGAAAGAAAGCACAAATATGTTTTCAATGGTCTGGGCATAGGAAATCCTATTAAGGACAAGATTCTCAAGCTTGACACATTTCTTCTCTTTTATGGTCTCAAACATTGATGAAACATTCGTTTCAGTATTTGACTTCCACTCAGCAGTGCTATCAAGGAGCTGTAGAAAGAAAAAAGGGAATGCATGACGAAACCGATAATTGACTATATATAGATTGTTCAGCTAGAAAAGAAAACTATAGAAATGAAAGTAAATCTAGACATTTCTCTTAAAATTACTTGACTAAATGATCCCCAAGTCTTACTCAAAGAGGTGAGGTTTATGGCACACTTTGATAAGACATTCCCCATGGGTCAAATACAACACTATAAACTCTTATTATGTTGGCCTTTTAGAATCAAATATCAAGTCTTAATACGGTAATACACTTCTATATCAAACTCATGAAATAGAAAGAAACGGGTTGCGAGGAAGAGAAAAAAAAACCTTCACCGGGCGAACATAAGGAGTACATCTTGTTTTCTTAATCTCATTTCTGATCCCCCTATGCTTGATAACATAATTCAGTGCGTCAGGCTTGATCATACAATATACTGGTTCAAGCTTTATCTTATAACTCATTGGTCCAACCCTGAGAAAGAATGCCACCAATTCACTTACAATGTCAGAAAAGACGGTTTTGCTCCCCACTCAATAGAAACAACACACTCACATAAAATCTAAGAAGAAGGTGTTGACTTACATGGTCTTACAACCTGAACCATCCTTGAGAAAGGGTAAAGCAATTTCTTCCGAGCGTAGTATGGGCCCTGCATTCTTACCACGACCCCCTCTTCTTCCATAATGTTTAAGAAGATGGTAAACAAACCCTGAAGGTGTCACATTTCCTTTGAGATGCGACTTAACAGAATCCACCAAAGAGCCGGTAAGTCCAAGCACTGTTTCTGCATCAGCCACCTGTTCTCGCGGCCGTGTAACTGCCAAAAATGAGAAAAATTATGAATCTTGAAACAAAAGTCGTCTTGAAATTTGTTGTGGGTGTCAATCTCTTCCTCCTCAATTCATGGTCCTTTGTTTTCTTTTCTTTCGATTTGAATTTTATTTATTTATCTATAAATTTTGATTAATCTGGAATCTGAGAATGTCATAAAAATACTAGTAATTTAAAAATGTCACTTTTATGACATTACATCTATCAAGATGACGATATTACTTTGAAATTACATAACTTTAAAATGCCATATTTTTGCCGGTTTGACAAAATAATACCTGATAGAGTATATGGGCTTGGACCCCATGGCCCACATACTCATAGTCAACGATGACCAGAAGAGCGTCCACGTGGCCTCCTTCGGCTTAGTGGGACCCGCATCGGCCAGAAACCAAGTCGGCCCAGAATACGCATCTGGACTTCCGGGGCCGCATCGGCCCATGTACCGCATCGGCCATGGGACCGCATCGGCCAAAAGGTACCGCATCGGCCAGACTGCGTCCTGGCAGAACACATCTCTCTACTTTATTTACTAAGTATTGTACTCAGCCCATTAGTGGCCCTATTTCGCCCAACGAAGGCATGATTATTGTAATGGGCCTCCTAAGCCCATAGCTAGGAGCCCAAATCCACATTTTTACCTATAAATAGACCCCTTGGGGCTAGTTATATGGGGTTGAGAAATATAAATACTCACTTTCTCTCTCTAGCTCTCACTTCTCTCTAGAATTAATACTCTATCATTTGGTGCTTTCATTGAGAGCTTAGAACAGATCAAGTGAGTATCCTTCGTCGCTACCAGACACTACCATTAGCTATGACAAGAACTAGGTCAAAGAACACTGGTAGGAATGCCCCCGTGAACCAGGAAGGGCAGAGAAACGTTGCTGACAATGTCCCTAACGACCTCATCGATGAGGAAGGGAACATCCAGGAGGTCGAACACCCAGCGACCGACCTTCGCACCCAGCTCAACAGGATTGCTCCGGATGCCCGCATCGGGCTCGAGGACAGACGCGCTGCTGATCGCCCTTCGGGCCAACAGGCTTCTCCCCCTGTTATCCCTCAGCTCAACCTGGCTGCCCTATCAGCCATTGTCGCCAGCATCCTCCAGGACCCCAACGTGGTCAGCGCTCTTGTCGCAAAGACTGGGGAGAACAACACTCCGGTAACGGGAGAGGTCGCGACGGTGCCACCACCACCACCTCATCCGCTTGGCGTCACCTTCTTCGGCGACAACGAGGATGTCGTCGCCGTGGACACCCATTCTCATACTGCCTCTCCTACCCGGGATACACCGGCCCAACCTCGTGGTAAAATCTCGGCCTTCAATAGGCTGGGTGACATCGCGAGCCGTCGGGTACCTACGGGCAGGGTGGCGGATCGGTTGGGTGGCCGCGAACCGGGATCACCTTAAGAGAGCCTCGGATCCGTCTCCCGGACGATGGATCGGCCCCAGTTGGACAAAGGCAAAGGAAAGCTGCATGAAAACGACGCACGCCACCAGATCAACCTGGCCCATGCGGCCCGGATCCAACCCCTGCCGGACACCGCCACGGCCGCCAGGGACCTTAAAGATGAACTAATCGCCCGGTTGGAGAAACGTCTGGCCGACATGGAGGCCCAGGAAGCCGCGGCACTTGCAGCAGCCGCTTCGGCCCACACAGCCCAACCCCCCAACTAGGACGCTCTCCTCAAAAAGGTTAGCGCTCTGGAAAGGGAGCTGGCTGACAGACGAGATGAGCCCGTCATCCAGATACGGACAAAGACCCCCTTCTCCGCGAGGGTGCTCTCCGCCCCCATCCCGGAGAAGTACAAGGGGAACCCGATCAAGCCATATGACGGCCGCACCGACCCTCAGGAGCACTTCACTCGCTACCAAAACAACATGACGATGACCAACGCTTCGGAGGAATACATGTGCCGCTGGTTCCTCTCCACCTTGGAAGGAACAGCGTATGATTGGTTCAATAACCTTCCAGAGGGGAGCATAGCCTCATGGCAGGACCTGGCTCAACGCTTCCTCACCCACTTCACTGGGAGGAAACGCGTAAAGAAGCATTTCGCTCACCTCCTCACCATCAAACAGCAGTCGGAGGAGACGCTCCGGGCCTTCCTCGATCGCTGGACGAAGGAGGTGGACGAGTGCGGAGGAACTGATGAGCGCACCCTTTTGGCCTTCCTCCGAGGAGCACTTCAGCCGAGCCACTTCGCCCGCAACCTGTTCACCGAGCCCCCGCGGTCATACCTCGCGGCACTCTGACGTGGAGACAGGCATGCGGACGCCGACGAGCTCCTAAGCCAGAAGAAGGGTGGGGAAAAGCCACAGAAGAAGGACTCCTCGTCCAACCCCCACCATGTGCCAGCCAACAAGGAACAAAACCAGCGAAAGAAGGGGAACCCGGATTCCGGAGGGCAGAGCAAGGACGACCGATCATGGCGTCCAAGGCTGGAGGCGCCATTCACCCCCCCTCACCCACCCCGTCAACGTCATCCTTGACTACGCTGAGGACCACGGCCTCATCACGAAGGACCCCCGGCCTGCGGCAGAGGTATTCGCCATCCACAAGGGCAGGCCGTACTGCAAGTACCATCGCCAAACGTCCCACAAAACCGAAGACTGCACCACATTGAGGAGGCACGTCGACAAACTCATCTGGTAAGGGGAACTCTCCCAATTTGTCCAGGGTGCCCCAAAGAACACATGGGTCAACCCTGGCAGGGCGGGAGAGGGATCCTCCGGTAAGAAGAGGGAGATCGGCGCCCTTAGTGAAGATGAGGACGACGAGGAGCCCCGCCAGAAGAAACATCACATCCACATCATTGTGGGCGGGAATACAAGGGGGGACTCGGCTACCCAACAGAAAAAATGGGCCCAGTCCCTATACGTTGGTGAGGTGTCCCATGCCCCCCCTCGGCCAAAGCGACAGCATGTGGAGGCCATCACTTTCATCGACAAGGACCTCCCCTTCGTCCCCTTGCCTCACAGAGACGCCCTCGTCGTCAAATGCGAGATTGACAACAACATCATTCACCGCAACTACATCGACACTGCCAGCTTCGTCAATGTGATGTACGTTGATACCTTCAAGCAACTGAAACTGAAGAAGACTGAGCTCAGGCCGATACGGACTCCGTTGTCTGGATTCACCGGGGACTCTATCGACGTCGAAGGCACGATAGTGCTTCCCGTTGTGGTCGATAAACATGGAGTTTGTGGTCGTGAACCTTGATAACGCCCACAACATGATCTGGGGCCGACCTGCCTTGGAGGACCTTGAGGCCATCATCTCTATGAAACATCTATGCCTCAAGTTTCCCACCAAGGACGGCGTCGGCTACGCCAGAGGAAATCAGAAGATAGCCAGGGCTTGCTACCTCAAGCTCACCAGGAAGATTAATGAGGCCGAGGAGCGGATAAACACTATTACCACCGCCTCGGCCGAAGAGGACACACCAAAGACCGAACCGGTCGGAGACGTGTAAGAGGTTTCGTTGGACGTCTCTCGGCCGGAACGCATGCTGAAAATAGGGACGCAGCTCCCCCAACAGATACGAAGGGACATCCTCTCCGTACTGAGAGCGTACGCTATCATCTTTGCATGGGGACCAGAGGACATGCCGGGCATCAGCCCAAAAGTGATCACACATCGGCTCTCAGTCGACCCGGCCTCCTCCCCCATCAAACAGAAGAGGCGCTACCTTTCGGCCGAGAGGAGAGAGTTTGTCAAGGCCGAAGTGGCCATGCTACTCTCCATCAAACACATCAAAGAAGTGAAGTACCCCACGTGGTTGGCGAATGTCGTCCTCGCCCAGAAGCCGCCTACGTTCAGGATGTGTGTCGATTATAACGACCTGAACAAGGCGTGCCCAATGGACCCGTTCCCTCTCCCCAACATTGATCAGTTGGTGGACGAGACGGCGGGGTGCGAGTTGATGTCATTCCTCGATGCGTTCAGAGGGTACCACCAGATATCAATGCACGAAGATGATGCCGAGAAGACCACTTTAATGACCCCGGAAGGAATCTTTTGCTACCTCGTCATGGCCTTCGGGCTCAAGAATTCCGGCGCCACTTACACAAGGATGGTAGCTCGGGTTTTTAGAGCTGTCTTGGGCCGGACGATGGAAGCATATGTCGATGACATGATCGTCAAGAGCAAGCAATCAACAACACATGCCGACGACCTCCAGGGCATCTTTGAGATTATGAAGAAGTATAACCTCCGGCTGAACCCAAAGAAGTGCACCTTCGGCGTCCAAGGGGGCAAATTCTTGGGGTACCTAGTCAGCCGGAGGGGCATCGAGGTGAACCCAGAGAAGATACAAGCCATCATCAACATGGAGTCGCCCCGCAACATAAAGGAGGTGCAACGGCTGACGGGACGCCTCATGGCCCTGAACCGTTTCCTCTCAAAATCCGCGGAAAAGTCACTCCCTTTCTTCCAGATAATGAGGAAGGCCACCAGCTTCAAATGGACAATAGAGTGCCAACAAGCCTTTGAGGAGTTGAAGCAATATCTCGCCTCCCCACCCGTCTTGTCCAAGCCCCAGCCCGACGAGACTCTCTTTTTCTACTTAGGAGTGAGCACGTCGACCATCAACTCCGTACTCATCAGGGAGGACGACGGGGTGCAAAAGGCAATATTCTATGTCAGCAAGACGCTGCGGGAGGCCGAGCTCAGGTACTCCCCCATCGAGAAGACGGTACTGACCATCGTCCACACAGTGAAGAAACTGGGGCACTAATTCCAGGCTCACCCCGTCCGCGTCCTCACACATCAGCCGTTGGGTGCCCTCATGAGGAGCCCAACCAGCTCTTCAAGGATGATCAAGTGGGCAATCTTCCTGAGTCAGTACCAAATTGAGCTCAAGCCGAGGCCGTCCATCAAGGGACAAGCCTTAGCTGACTTTGTCACGGAATGCACGGCGAGGGAGACGGCCGTAGCCACCACTGGCCGAACCAGACGAAGCCTGGACCCTCTTCACAAATGGGTCATCGACCACCAAAGCTTGTGCGGGTGGCGTAGTCCTCATCTCCCCAGAAGGATTCAGAGCGTACTATGCCATCCGCTTCAATTTC